AGTTGCAACTATTTATGAATTTTTATATTAAAATAAATTTACAAGGAGTTGCAACCAAGTTGCAACTCAAGTTGCAATATACCGAGTTGCAACTTCTTAATTATAGTGCCCATCTTTAGCTATTTCAAATCTTCTTTTTTAAGCTTTTAATAAATTTTAATTCTTCTTTATTTATATTAAAAACTTCTTCCCATTATTCCAATTATAAAATTACTATAAGTAATTTTTAGTAAAGGATTATATTTGACTATTTTTATATATAATTAGGTTTATAAATATTTATTATTTTAAATACAATTAAAATATATTGAAGGTTTACTAGGAAAAAGGATCTGAGGCTTTATATTATATTATATAATTTCAGAATATCTTTTCTAGTAAACTTCAATTATTTTATTATTTTTTAGCTTTTAGTTTTTTTAGTTTATATATTTAAAAATTAATGGATAAATTTTATTTTAAAAAATAATAAATAGTTATTATCATATTAAGTTTTATTTATTTTATATATATTATAAGATTAAAAAAATAAACAAAATTCTTTATTTTTTTCTGTATTAAAAAACGCTTTATCTATTTTATAAATCACTAGAATCAAGTTTCATTTTGTTTTCATTATTTGACAACTCAAATTATACAATATCAGAAATTTATTCTTACATATATTTATCTAGAATTGAATGTTTTGATTTATTTATATTTTTTTTTTAGGTAAAAATTCAAAGGTCTATAAAGTGGTTATATTATATTCATAAAAAATTATCAAAATACATAAATTTATGAAGCATTTTCAAGTTTATTATTAGTAATAAAAACTTCAAATGCTTGCTTTTTTAAAAATCTTCAACCGATAAGCGAACCTCTTTTGTAAATGATCGTCTTGTGTGTCATCTCATAATATTTCTAATTAGTAAATATGTTTCGGAAAACTCGGAAGAAAATACCAACCATATATATACTGGAATTGGATAATTGTAACATAAATAATAACGCTGTAGACAGATTGATCACGTGAAATTTGATCTCAATCAAAAATATTATTATATTTTAATCGTTTTATTTTGTCTTTGCACAAATATAAATGCGGTTCGAGGTTTGGAAGTAGGAAACATTTATATTATAAACTTCGAACTCGATGCTTACGTTTACGATTATTGCAAAAGTTGAAGTCGAAACGGTTTATTTAAAGTCGTTGAAAATCATTTACCATATATATAAAAGTAATTGTGTATTTATAATGTTAATTTTTGAACAATTCAGCCACATTTAGTCATACAATGCAGGAACCTATACACTATAGGGGGATAAATATTTATTGTTTAATTCTCGACAATCCATGCAGGGTTTCTGCATGCATATGCTAAATTATAACTAAATATCATTGGACACGAATTTGACAAGTTAGATAAAGTAATGTATAAAAAATAAATTCATAACTGATAACAATTCTAAAATGAAGAAACAAAAGTAATATTTAATCATGTAGTTTAGGATTTTAATTTCGAAAAATTTTGACGAATTATTTTCACACAAATTTCCCTGCACTATAATAATAAATTTAATAAATTTTTTTTTGCACCTATTACAGTTATGTATTTGAATCTAATCTAATCTTTTTCTAGATGTATAGAAACTGCAAGCGGATAAGGTAGAAGTTACGCAGATTATATCTATATCGAAACGTTTTAATATTTGCAGACAAAACAGATGTTGATCATGATAACTTCCAAATTTATGTAGCTCATTATCTTAATTTGAAGAAATTACTGTCCAATTATTAAATAAATATTGTTTTGAAGGATCGGAAAGGATGTACTAATTTGGAAGTTATTGCAATTAATCAACGGGTCTATTTTGGATAGATCGTCAACAAGAGGATATAAATAGTTTTCAAAATGAAATATTTGCATGTATACCGTAGCTATTCCTTCGAAAATTAAGTTTAAACGCGAAGCCATTGATTAATTTGTGGAGACATTACTGATTTGGTAAGGTTTCTTTATCGAGACGTTAAAGTTATTTTTTGGATAAACTTTTTAGAGAAGATTTTGTTAAATTATTTGAGGATGGTCCGAACAAGTTAAATTAAAGAAGGTAATAACCAATCAATATAGATAAATATGGTAAGGTGGCATTTATCTTATATTTGTTTGTATCACATAATGATTCGCGTATTGGCAGTACGCCCATCGTCAAATGATATAAATAAAATGATATTAGCATTTAGTCCATTACTTATTTGTTTGTTTCTAGGTTTATATTATAAATTTCTTCCCTTGTCAACTTTATTTTCAAATATTATGCGATCCAAACTTTTCTTTTCCAAATATCAATTAATGACGATAAAAATGCTATTCGTCGGTGCACTAGCACAAGTAGAAGATCAAGATGTTCCAATAAATCTCGATACACCCGATAATAGAAAGAATTTACATACAGTAGTATATAGTACTTTGGCAATGATTGTCATAAGTTTATGTGGATGCCTTTATGTTTTTTATAGAACATATAATCAATGGAAATTTAATAAATCAAGAAAAAAATCATTAATGATGATTTACAAGTTGCCGTTCTACACTGCTTGTACTGGTAGGTAATGTTGATTCTCCTAAATTAATCAAGTTGTATATTGATAAGCATGTTTTTTTTAGATTTTTTTATATGTCTGATTTTTTTCACAAATAACGTAAGTGTTATTATTTATTTTAATTTCACAAGTTGTTACGTTTAAGATAATGCATTTGATTCATTGATTTTGACACTACTTTCCTTTTGAGTAGATACACCCAATTATCTATGGGTATGTATGGAACGGAACCGCTTGCACTGTAATTAGCGTTTTTAATTGGTCAATTGTTACAATTAACTTATCTTTATATGGGATCGTAGCGTAAGTCTTTATCCGAACGGCGATCATTTATTGTAATAAGTCATTATGTTAAAAAAAATTTTTTTTATCGAAATAGAATATTAACTTATCTTCGAATTTGCCGTGGAATGTTCTTTAATTATGGTAAAGGCGATCATAAACTTTGGTTTATGATCTTTTTTGTTTCTACAATATTTCAAATAATAAATTACAAAAATCATGGTGCGCGTAAATATTGGTAAGTTTATTTTATCACATATAAAAAAGAAAAAAAAAGATATTTATTATTTTTTTATACGATCTATTTGTAGGTGTACCGGAAAATCAGGACAAATCACTTCCTTCATCTTATTATTTGTAATAATATTACTAACGTTAATGATAATAATAATATGTTATACCAGAATATTAATAGAGATAAAGGATATCCGAGGTTTTTGTTTCACCTTCGTGACTTCGTCAAGATCATCATGTGAGGAAGAAAATTATGATGAAAATGATGTTGAAAGTGTCATTTTAAAAAATCGTATTGAAATTGAAAGAAGAGCTTATCAAAAAATCATTAGTTACATCCTAGTATTTATTTTACAATGGATTCCTATACTAATTCATCTTTTATGCAGAATTTGGGGGGTAAAATTATTATTTTTGGAAACATCTATTTTTTTTTTTAAAAAAAAGTTTTTTTAATATTTATTTTATTTTTTTATTTAAAAAATAAATAAATATATTATATAGATTAATAAGATTTGGGTTTACATTGTTGCAGCTTTAGGTAAGTTAACGTTAATTAAACCTAACATAAAAACAAAATATATAAATTTTTAATTTTTTAATTCATCTATTAATAGGCAAGTCAATGGGAGGAATTGGTAATGCAATTCAATACATGATAAATGAAGGAATTGTTGCTAGTGCATCAACAGGATTCGAATCCCCAAATATCGAATTGATAAGAACCAATAATGAATCAAATGACAATTCATATATGAAAAATATCAATTATGTAAATGAGACAAACAAAGAAAAGCATAGCGATGATAGCGATGATGCAAATATTATGGATAAGAACGAAAATAGCAATATTATATTTAATAATGAAAATAACAACTGATAATTTTAAAGATAATATTAATGTATGATATTAATAGATTAATTTTTTTCTCGCAAAAAAAAAAAAAAAAAATCCCGGTTTTGGAACCAATCACCCGGTTAGATCCGTAAAATATCTGCGCCACATTTTTCTAAAATTTTAGAATGTCATCATTCTAATTTCTTTTTTAGATTAAGTTTAATAAATTTGATGACTAAGTAAATTACCTCACAACGTTAAGAAGCGCGTGATACAATCAACATCTATACATCTTTAATTATTGCTGTCAATAATGCATTAAGATCTTTGTCTGTATCACATAAAGGAACATGACGCAGATGAAACAAACCCATACGCTGGGTAATGCAAATTAGCGGATATATTTATCAGATTCAAACTCCACAACTTGGAGATATTTCACACAACTCCATTTTTGAATATTACTCTCTCAATCGGAGTCTTCTTCGCAAAAATTTTGGAAAAGTGTGTAATTTCTAAGTCGGATTTGACTGATTTCCGCGGAATTATTTTGCAGGCGTCCTTCGAATTTCGGCATTTGACAAAATTGGAAGAAATTTTTTTTTGAATTTTCCGTAATTAAAATAAATAAACAAAAAATTTCGTAGTATTTTCTTTATTTAGACAGATTAGAAAAGAAATCGTACATTATATAAGAAGATGGGTAAATAATCGATTTTATACATAAAGAATGGCTAAAATTCTTTGTGAAACCCATCATGTTAATGTAAGTAATGAAATACGAAGCATAATAACGCTTACTGATAAGGAATACTCTTTTATTTGTAACGCAATCATAGGCTGGCTATAAATTTTATCTAATTAAAAACAAAATTTATTTATATAAAAATAACGAATTCGCGTTCATTAAATCAGCTGTTGTTATTATTGTTAACATAGCTCTTAAGTTTCGCCCAATATTCAATCCATTGCATCTACTTAATCATACATTCGTTTTTTTTATCAAGATGTTTTATATATCAAAATACCTCCTTACAATACCGTCAATCCTATCGATACTGTTTTTAAATGCTTTAGCATCTGAAAAAGAGGATAACATGGACACATCATCACCCCAACCTCCACGATTAGATACTCCGGAAAATATGAAAGATTTTCATACCGTAGTATACTTAACGATAATAATGACTATGTTTAGTTTATGCGGATGTTCGTACGTATTTTTCAGAACTTACAAGCAGTGGATATTAAATAAAAAAAGATCCTTGCCAATGATCTATTTGTTACCATTTTATACTGCTTTTTCTGGTAAGCACCCGTGAAATGATTCTCTCAAATATGTAATTGTTAAATAAAAATATTGATTTCTTACCTCGCGTTTACCTAGATTTCCTAATTAATGTGGCCTTTTTCGTAAATATTGTAAGTTCATGACGAATTTTAAAGTTTTCGATAGCATACACAGACGCTAATGTTTTTGCGCAACGATTAGATTCACACGGCAATTTATGCTGAAATTTGGGACCAACCAATGTGTCGAATAATTAGTACGGTTCATTGGGGAATTCTAACGATCAACCTAACGTTATATAGTGTAATAGCGTAAGTTCAAACATTAATTTTTTTTAATTTTTTTTATTTTACATTTTGAATTAAAAACAATATCTTTTTTTTTGGTACAATCATGATAGTTCGATTACATATACACGCGTTTGTTGTGAAATTTATTTTGTATATGGACCATATGACTATAAACTTTGGTTACTCGTAATAGGAATTTCCGCAATTTTTCAAGTCATAAATATTCCGAATCACGGAGCACGTAAATTCTGGTATGTTATACATTAAAAGAGAACGTTTATTTAAAAGAATTATTTTATTTATATTTATTTATTGTATAATATATATATTGTATATTTAGGTGCTTTGGAAGATCGGGACAAATAATTTCTTCCTCAATTTTATTCGGATTAGTGACATTTTCGTTGATCGTTATATTATTTTGTTATATTCGGATTTTACAATCACTCATGTCAAAAAGAGATGACGATGAATCAAGCTTTAGTAATGCTGATGGTGAATTGGATAGTGCGGCTATTAAAAAACGTGATGAAATTGAAAAAAAAGAAAAGAGAGCCGCTAAAAAAATTATCAGTTATATGCTCGTATTTTTACTTCAATGGACTCCTGTACAGATTCATCTTATCACCCGCTGGTTTAACGTGAGTTTTATAATTTTATTTGAGATGAGAAGGTATTAAATTTATCTTTTTTAAAAAAAAATAATTTTTCTTCCTTTCCTTTAGATTGATGACGCTTGGATTTATATTTTAGCTGCTACAGGTATAACGTTTTACAATTTTTTTTTTTAGTAGAAGTAATTGTAATCAATATATTAATATTTTCTTAAATTAAAGGCCAACTACTTGGAGGAATCGGTAACGCTGTAAATTATATATTCAATGAAGGATACGTTACACGTAGTTCTAGTTCGGAGAGTTCGGAGAATGAAATCGTAAAAAATGAAAAACCCTCGAAATAATCGAATAACATGATAAACATTATGATTATGATATACCTTACGTACCTTATGACAATTATGAAATTTTATGAATGATATGTAAAAAACAAAAAAACAAAAAAAATTTTTTTAATAAAGAATAAATAACCTGGGGTTTAAGCTAAATTGAATTTATCCATCAGAGAACACAGTATATAAACTCGATCTCTAAATCTGATAATTATCAACGCCGATCACAGTGCTGATACACAGCTTCTATTATGCATCGTAATATCCAAGTATAATTTAATTGGATTCCCATTGTTATCTTTTTAATTATTATTTTTACTTTTATTTTATTTAAAATTGTTGTTATTTCCATTCTGTATTCGATCACTTAGTCACCACTTATATATGTCCCTGATTGACGCACAGAACGTGTAAATTTAAATTTTTGAAACTTATCGCGCAGATAATGTGCCATTTTTATGTCGATCACTTTTATAAGGGCGATCTAGTGTAACGATGATTAATCAATATGCCGGTATCTTTCCATTTTAAGTAGCTTTATAAATCCTTTTTTATTTCTTAAACTTATTTTTTTTATAAATTCATATTTATAATCCATTCTTATAATCTCATTTATTTTACCTTTAATATATTTTTTTGCATATTTATATATTTCTTTATAAGATAGTTTTATATTTACAAAAGTTAATATATTCTTATTATTAAACATTCATTTTAGATTTTTGTTTGTTATTTAATATTTATATTTGTTAATCTATTTATCTATTTTTAGAATTTTATATTTTCATTCTTAGATATGTAATTAATTATTTTTTTTATCCCATTATCCTATATAAACAGTTCATAAAAAATACTATATACAATATATAGTGATAATGAGTACAAACTATATAATAATGATATATTTTTTATAATATCAATTAATTAATATAATAAAATGTAATTTTAACTATTATTTGAAAGATTTGCTAAGAAAAAAGAATTAGAATCTTTATTTTTATTGTATTATAATTTTTGAAGATATTAGATTAAAATGCAATAAGAATGAAATTTTATTCAAAAAATACTCAGAATTCTATTTTTCTAGCAAATCACCTATTTGTTAACTGTTCTTTAACATAATTATTGATATAATATAATTATCCCTTAGATTGTAGGGTTTTGCAGGCAAATTTGCCTGCTTATTTACTATAAATTCTCTTCTGATTTACTTTT